AATATATCTAAAAATAAGTATGAACTACGATTCAAACTTAATAATTATGTTATTCCTTTTGTAACATTCCTGACTTACAAAGCACCCACATCGTAACCCATAACCTACTTGTATAGCCCACATACGTATCTTGTCGTTTGATCTATCTCTTTGTCGATACGATTTACAACAGTAATAAATTTATTACACGAAGATTAACGACTGATAGAGGTACAATAACGACGCCTAAACAATGCTCAAAGTCTTTAGTAGTTGTGAGGCAACATTCTTTAGATTTGTAGGCGATAAAGTTGGACATGAAAACGTAGGTGCAGTTCGCAAAATATTTTACATTAAATGATAATGAAGAATGACGTCGAATCAATCTTATTTACGATCCTTGTATTGTATGTTAATTTTGATTCGTAACATTTCTTAATGTTGTATTATTTTTTTTGTATTTACTTTATATCGTGTTTGTTTGTTCTTTATATCTAAAGTAATCAAAACAGTTACGTTTATTGACTTTGGCCAGGCCTAAGATATTTTGAGGTGAGATATTTTTAAAAGTACCGAGCAAACATGTTTTATTTTAACAAAGAATTTAATCGTTATAATGAAAGTTGATTCACGTCATCGATGAACGTCGCCGACCGAGTACGATTTCTCATCGTAAAAATGAAAATTACCTCGAGTAAACGTCGTAAAATTCTTCCCGTTCTCAATACATTTTTGATTCCGTCCGAATTAGAAGATATCAATTAAAGTAAACATTATTTTTCGAATCTCGTATTCTTAACGGATTTTATAGAAAGTGTTATAATAGAAAGCAAAGAATGAGAAATTATCTTTCCACACCAAATCATCCGAATCCTCGTATACTTTAGAAGTTACCTTTGGAATAATTGGATAATTTGCTTTTCAAAGATATTGAGGAGGTGTTATTACGTTATATTCATTATAAGTTTACGTAAAAACTAATTATGTAGCATAATAATGGGGAAATTTGATCATTATGTGGAATATTAGTTAATGTAGAATGTAGATTAATTTTAATCGGGCCACAATCTCTTAAACTTAATAACCTTTCCCTTTCTTTTATTAATGGTCCGTGACCATAAGGAATTTTTATTTTTTTGGTTTTTATATAAGATATCTATAATCTTTAATTATGGATCAAAGAAATGAATTGACTCCAACGCACCGTAATAGAGAATATATCTACTTCGCAGATGAGCTCTTTTATCATTCCCAACCACACAGATGCAAATGATGTTCAAACCAATTTAAACAAATTGAAAGCGGCCTGACTTTTTGAGATAGACTTTATTATTTAACTGCCCTTCATTAAATGGACTTCAGAGGGTCACTAATGTATCAAGATCTATCTTGCAACCGCTGTTGACCACTGGTAAATTCACATTCATATGGGATGGCATATCTCGTACCCCATTTAATTGGATCAGATTAATTATTCCTCTTACGCTATGCACGCGGCTCTCTGTATGCGCAACACGTCATTATTATGTGTGTGTATGGAAGGGGCCATTGTACTTTTATTGCTTATTAGTACTGGCCATCTGTCGTCACTTCTTCCATGTGACTGGTGGAGCTATATGACTTGATTTTTTAAAACTTCTTGTTACATTTACAAAGTGAATTATTTTTAATTCAAAAATGACTTCAAAATTGATTTTTTTTTGTATCTACCGTTATTTCTAACATCATCTTGGGACACGACATCATCCGTGACTGCAGTTTCACGCCTGGATGCAAAACTGCTGCGGTAACCTAATTCCGGGTTCAATTTTAGCAAACGCGTTTCGGAGATGAGCCTGGAATGAGAAGCGTTTATTAAATATTGACCGAGATTTCGGTGCAAAGTTACATCTGGTGAAAGCTTATGGTTAGCAGATTTCCGCATTTTATCGGATACGTTGATGTCGCGATGAAGATCTTCACGTCATTCGATTCGCCTTAGTTTCATTTTTCTTATAATTCCGTTTTTAGAGACGTGCGGCTAAAGCCGAATGATTCTAGTTGTAGGTCTAATGTTAGTTCTATTTCAGTAAAAATAGACAACAATTTAACGCTTAGTAACAATTAAAACTAGAACTAACACTAGACCTCGAACTAGAAAGTTTCTAGGTTTTTTAATGATGACAAATATGTCAAAATTGACGTTGACGTTTCAAACCGGAAGTGATTGTACCGAGTTTGGACTCATTTTAAAGGTTATTTTATGAAGATTACGAATATAATAAAATTAAAACTAAAACTTTTTAGTTCTAGGTCTAGTGTTCTAGTTTTAATTGTTATTTAACCCTAAATTCTTGTACATTTTAATTGATCTAAAATTTTTTTTTGATTTAATCCACTTACCTTGCTTATAATTTCATCCATTTACCCATTTTGAATTAAATACAACCTTTAAATCCAATTAATTATGCGTTTTTCATTAAAAAAAACTTAAATTCAACGTCCATTTTGACAAGCAACTGCCATATTTGGATCTTAATCACCATNATCTTCTTCGTTCGGGTGAATTTCTATCTCGACCATGTTATCGTCAAATGTAACAGATGTTTCTACGGTTCAATCCAAGATTGGTTTTTTCGAAAAATTAGTCGATAATAATAAATACGGTAATATTATTTTAAAATACTTTAAGTATTTGTAGTAAATTATTTATTGATTGCAATTAGGTATGTACTTATCTAAGTAATTATCTTTTATTGACTATCCTTTCAAAGATTGATTCCGTATGTCTTATCTCACAACATTTTCTTCTTTATTGCTTCCATCATGTTTACATTCCTGACTGTTATTTTATGAAGATTACGAATATAATAAAATTAAAACTAAAACTTTTTAGTTCTAGGTCTAGTGTTCTAGTTTTAATTGTTATTTAACCCTAAATTCTTGTACATTTTAATTGATCTAAAATTTTTTTTTGATTTAATCCACTTACCTTGCTTATAATTTCATCCATTTACCCATTTTGAATTAAATACAACCTTTAAATCCAATTAATTATGCGTTTTTCATTAAAAAAAACTTAAATTCAACGTCCATTTTGACAAGCAACTGCCATATTTGGATCTTAATCACCATGGTAACCGCGTCAAGTTGGATAACCTTAAAATAATAAAATTTTATTCCGATTTTTGTATCAATTCTATCCTAATTTTTATTAATTTTAAAACAATTCGAATTCTTTACGATTTTTTCGCATTCATAACAAATTCCTTAATTGTAGTTAATTTAAATCGATTGTAATTAAGAGAAATAAATTAAAAATATCTTTTTTTGATTTAATCCACTTACCTTGTTTATAATACCGTAGATAAACCAATTTTGAGTTAAATACAGCCTTTTAAAACAATTAAATAAGACTTTTTCCTTAAAAGAACTTAAATTCAATTTCAATTTTGACAAGCAACTGCCATATTTGGATCTTAATCACCATGGTAACCGAGTCAAGTTGGATAACCTAAAAATAATAAAATTATAACCGTTAATATTTCGCTTTATATTTTAATATTTTTTTAATTTTATTTTATCTTTTTTTTAATATTTTTGTATATTGCTTCTTAAGTGAAATACACTGTATAAATAAAAACATAGAAATGTCAATTCTTCCAATGACGTCACAGCAAGGCCTTTGCGGGGGGATACGTTCATAAGAACAGCGTTCATATGGAGTTGGATAACCTTATACAGTATACAGGTGTCCGGTATCTTCCGCATCAGAGCATTATACTGTATTTACTCAATCTTGGTAATACCTAGCGCCTCGGCCACGAACGATCTCGGTTTTTGTTCTTGTTGGATAAAAAATATTTAAGCCGAGGATTTTTACAAATCTCCATTGTAACATTGCGATCCAGATGTTCCTGATTAAAATTGAAAATTGAAATATGCGTTTCCGATAAAACCGTTGGCGCGTCAAAGTAAATATAGATAAGACGGCACTTTCCTCGTATAAAAAATACATGTTCACTCTCGCTGAAAGTGCAATTCCGTCGTTTGCGCAATATGTATGTAATTTTAGTGTGAAGATGTAACGTGGTAGACAGGAACGAGAAAGTCTTAAGTGCTATTCCCCTGTTAAACACCTGTTACGCGCAACGTTATCTAAGTTTTGTTGATTGGAAAATTTAATACTCAATTCGCTCTTCGAAACCACTTAAATTCGGTGTTATTTGTAGAAAATTATTTGTAATCTATAACAATATTATCAGGAGTCGCCTAATGATAAAATAGATGAGATAAATTCCTGTATTTGTAAATAAGCTAACTACTACAGTGATTTATAAATGATTTTTAATTTTTTCTATTCTTAAACTGGATTTTAAGATTTGCACCAGGAAATCAAGTTATTCATTTACTTTCTCTCGTTAGTTGTTGACTTTGTGAATTTCCTTTAAGGTTGTACTAAAGTCTTTTATTATCCTGATTGTCATGTGTCTTATAGAAATCTAAATACTAAACATTTTCAATTTCTCTTATTTTAAAAGCTAACTTTCCTCAACATGTTCGATTAACTTTAGTAACCAATCCACTTCTTCAATTTTTAACTTTGTGGTGGGGCATTTTTTGTTCAGTATAACTATTAATTCTTCTTCAAGAAGGTGCTGTTTTAATTGAACCTACATGTGTATCAATTTATTCTGAAATTGTGGTTGTAAAACGTTTTTAATATATACAAAATCCTAACTAATGGTAATATAAACTTTTGCACAATTGAAACCTGTACTATTTCCACGTATCTAACGGATCGTTACACAATAGGCGTACGCGGAAATACCACTGACACAGTTCGAGAAAGTTTTTTATCACCCTACAGAACTATTTTTAACGCTTCGTGTTTGATTTTTTTAAGGCACGCCAAGATAAGTGGGCTAATTAGGGTCTCGTTTCAGTAAACAAGAAAAAATTGCTCGTCTTTCCACACGGCGAAAACGCAAGCGACCGGAAAATAGACCGGATACTTAATTTCCCTTTTGTTTCTTTTGCAGGACCTGACGAAGGATAACAACATTGCCAGGTGTACCATAGACGAGTTGAAGAACAAGTTTGGAAATCAAGAAACAGGTAAAATTAACACATAACATTTTTTTATTATTACAATTTAATTCGTTTAATTACATCGATTATATCAATTTTATTGTTGATTGTTTTCTCAGAATATCTTTTTTGTTATCTTATAAAGTATTTCTAAACAACATTTAATTACACTTAATTATTTAGGTTAACAATTGTTTTAACGTTTTATTTGTCAACTTCCCAAGTTAATTTCCGCGTTCTCCTTTCCACAACAAAACTAATCAACTATGCAATTCTCGGCACATAGCAAACCCACTTTGAATTTTACTGCACTAACCTAACCTATATATTATAATAACCTAATCCCATTAAGAACCATCCAATCCGGATTTTCGTGGAAGTGCTTCTTGATCACGGAACCAACGGACAAGGCTGACCTACACCCTGCAAACTTGTCCCGGTGCCACTCACCTTGAACTAACGAACCGCGGTAATCCGCTAATGCACCTGCCAGGCGCCTTAACTTACCACGTCCACGTCGAACATGCGACGTCATATCTTGCGAAGCCCCTTTGGGTATCAAAGAAAATCGATGATTACGATCCCACAACCCTTCCTACGATCGTGGCTTTTCATTTTCCGGTCAGTGAGTGGTGTTTCCGCATCTTCTTCGTTCGGGTGAATTTCTATCTCGACCATGTTATCGTCAAATGTAACAGATGTTTCTACGGTTCAATCCAAGATTGGTTTTTTCGAAAAATTAGTCGATAATAATAAATACGGTAATATTATTTTAAAATACTTTAAGTATTTGTAGTAAATTATTTATTGATTGCAATTAGGTATGTACTTATCTAAGTAATTATCTTTTATTGACTATCCTTTCAAAGATTGATTCCGTATGTCTTATCTCACAACATTTTCTTCTTTATTGCTTCCATCATGTTTACATTCCTGACTGTTATTTTATGAAGATTACGAATATAATAAAATTAAAACTAAAACTTTTTAGTTCTAGGTCTAGTGTTCTAGTTTTAATTGTTATTTAACCCTAAATTCTTGTACATTTTAATTGATCTAAAATTTTTTTTTGATTTAATCCACTTACCTTGCTTATAATTTCATCCATTTACCCATTTTGAATTAAATACAACCTTTAAATCCAATTAATTATGCGTTTTTCATTAAAAAAAACTTAAATTCAACGTCCATTTTGACAAGCAACTGCCATATTTGGATCTTAATCACCATGGTAACCGCGTCAAGTTGGATAACCTTAAAATAATAAAATTTTATTCCAATTTTTTTATCAATTCTATCCTAATTTTTATTAATTTTAAAACAATTCGAATTCTTTACGATTATTTCGCATTCATAACAAATTCGTTAATTGTAGTTAATTTAAATCGATTCTAATTAAGAGAAATAAATTAAAAATATCTTTTTTTGATTTAATCCACTTACCTTGTTTATAATACCGTAGATAAACCAATTTTGAGTTAAATACAGCCTTTTAAAACAATTAAATAACACTTTTTCCTTAAAAGAACTTAAATTCAATTTCAATTTTGACAAGCACCTGCAATATTTGGATCTTAATCACCATGGTAACCGAGTCAAGTTGGATAACCTAACAATAATAAAATTATAACCGTTAATATTTCGCTTTATATTTTAATATTTTTTTAATTTTATTGCTTCTTAAGTGAAATACACTGTATAAATAAAAACATAGAAATGTCAATTCTTCCAATGACGTCACAGCAAGGCCTTTGCGGGGGGATACGTTCATAAGAACAGCGTTCATATGGAGTTGGATAACCTTATACAGTATACAGGTGTCCGGTATCTTCCGCATCAGAGCATTATACTGTATTTACTCAATCTTGGTAATACCTAGCGCCTCGACCACGAACGATCTCGGTTTTACTTTGTTTGACATTTGACCATGTTATCGTCAAATGTAACAGATGTTTCTACGGTTCAATCCAAGATTGGTTTTTTCGAAAAATTAGTCGATAATAATAAATACGGTAATATTATTTTAAAATACTTTAAGTATTTGTAGTAACATCACAACATTTTCTTCGTTATTGCTTCCATCATGTTTACATTCTTGACGTACCGTAGACTATTTGTTGCTAAATGCAACAACCTTCTCTTTAAGGAATTATATCAGTTTCTTAACACTATAACTTCTCGGACTTTAAAGTTACTGTATTCATAAGATAACTTTTGAAGATCATAATTGTTAGAGTGCAAATATAACTTATAATCTAAATATGTAGTCAGAAAGTTTCGAATAAAACTTTTATTAATCCCCAACATTTCATATCAACGTATTGTACAGGTTTAGAGTATCTCGTACTGCTGTAGTTTCCTGAAATCTAGATAAAGCAAGTTTCGAACTCAATATCGTGGAGTAATTCCACTTGACGTAATAAAATGGAACGCCGAATAAACAACGACATTGACTTAATTAAATTTGTTTCAAACTCCCCTCAATCTGACATTCGATACTATCGATTTTAAATTCATTATAAAGATTAAGTGTGTAATTTCATAACTGGGCGGGTTGTTCGTAGTGTTTGCTTTAGAAATGTGTATAAACGAATACTTTTTTTAGTGGTAAACAAACCGTGTGTGGTACAGTTCTAAATAGAACGATAACAACATCGAGGTTGAACACTTATTTTTACGGTTACACATTAAAAGCCTGTCTAGTTTTACCGGCAGTTAAAATTTAGATGTTGATCGAGCCGTGGGGTTTTATGTTGGACAATATAGTTTTTTTTTCTATGCCACCGAGATCTAAGAGATTTTTTCACGTTACTGCGCCTTTCAGAACGTGTTCGTTACGTATAAAAGGAGCCGCAATCTTATACCTGCATCCTTCCTTCCCCTGCGACACAGATTCAAAATGACACTTTCTAAAGAAAAACTCTGTAGAAAAAATTTTTGCTCTAGCTTTCTTTATTTCGTAATTCCAAAAATAAATTAGCCAAATTTCATTAAAAAATTTTCCTGAAACCTTTTTAATTAACGTAAAAAAAACTTTTTGTTCAATACGAATAACAAACGTTCATACGAAGTCATTGTCTCTCTGTAATGAGGACCTACTTCCAGGTACCCATCCTTTGCGCCCTATTATAACGGTACCGTGCCCTCCATACCTAGACACACAATGGCGCATCTACTTAAAAGAATGCGAACATCAGCAGTACGCTAACTTGACAGTAATTTTCACTTTTCACTCGCATTTCCAGGAGACCCGGATTCGTTGACTGCCATGATACCGGAATCGCAGAGGGGATCTCCGCATCCCCCGACGCCGCTTCTCACCGCGGATGGGCTAATTATGCCTAGGAAATTGCATAATCCCGTACTCGACAATGCTGAAAGACAAAACTTACACCGGGAACTGCTGTTCAATCAAAAAATGTAAGTAATACACCCCTCTTCTCCTTGTATTGTATTGTATACGAAGAACGTGCTCGAGTGAGCTTTTCTCACCTGATACTGATCGCACCCAGAAACAATGGCGAGGATGTAGGATAAAGGAGTTTGAGGGGTTTTTATAATTAGTTATCTTTAACCCGCATTCCTAGAACAACCACTTCTTGGTCTTATTAGATTTCACATCTTCCATCAAAGCAATTTTGGTTTAATTTAATTAATTTTGTTTCAGAGGTAAAAACGTATTGAACCAAAAATCCGAATTACAGAGAGCGTTGGAAAAACACAAGACAAATATTGCTAAAAAAGAATATGAAACCAACATGAATGCCATGTCTCCTGAGTTAGAGAAGGTCATAGCAGATAGAGCTAAAAAACGACAAGAGGTCAATGCTGGATCAACAGAGGTACGTTAATAGGTATTTACATAATTATTGATTACTTTTTTTTGTTAAATTAAGTTATCAAAGAAACAAAAAAGAATATATTTTTTGTAGAATGAAGACGATAAAGGCCTCAGCAAAGAATTTTTACAAGCCAGGGCTAAGTTAAAAGCCAGATCTGACGTAAAGTAATCGCAGTACATCACCAACTTCAATGACCCTCTTCTATTTATATCATATATTTTCATACCAAACAGCCCCGCGTAAACGAAACAATCGCAACGGACCCCGGAAACGGACGGAAGACAAATACGACGTTTTGTATTGTAGATGTTTTTGAGTTGTATGTGATAGGAACAAGCTTCATTTATGACGTAAAAGTTACAGAAAGCAATGTATCTGTAAATTAATCATTATTATGTAAGTACAATTTAGTGAATAAATATTTTTTATAAACAATTTGTTTTATTTAGTAGATGTAGTTAAAAGATGTACTTATTTAAAAACATGTTATGACGCTTAAAATACAGGTAGGATTATAACCTAGCTTGTTTTGAAAACGGTACATTAATCCAACTGGTTTAGTGCACCTGGATTGGATTATAGAATTAATTTATTTCAAGACAACTTTATAAAATTCGAATGAAAATCTTTAAATTATAGTAAACTAAAACTTCTCTAAAATGAATCAATATTATTCTTTGCATGGCTCAAATTGGAATTAATAAATTTAATATCAAAAATAAAAAAATTACTATCTTTTCTATTTATTTTAACATAGTATTGTAACCCTTAACAAACTGTTTCTTCTATCTTTGGTAACATAGATATTATAAGATAGTATTTTTTTTAGATATAATGAAATAACACTAATAGTCTTTCAGTATACAAAAAATCTATATTACTGTAAAGCTGAGGCACACATTATTCTTGTTGATTTGATAGATGTAATAGATACCTAAATAAATTACACCTAGATAATTTTAGAATCGTTAATTTGTATTGCTTAATTCTTAATAAATTCAAATTCTTGTTAGAATAGCTACATATTTGTTATAACTTGAAATATTAGTTGGAAATATGTTTTATACAGGTGGGAATTATAAAGGGGTCATCGCGATTCTCGGGATGCTATTGTCAGGTTGATATTATTAAAAAACAGAAAAGTTTAAGTAGTTCTTGATGAGTATTTGTAAACATAGTCGGAATTTGAAAATCATATCTTATACATATAGGCAACCAAGTTAACAAATGTACACCATCACCATCTAGTAGCATGGTTATATAAGTGTTTATTGATTTGAAGCACTTACAAACAGACGCACACGTGACCACATGGACAGCAAGTTAAAGCTAACACGGTGACATCTGGAGTTAGTTCTTAAACTCAACTGAACTCAGTCATCGCGGTCTCGAACCCCACTACATAGTATGCGGGGAGAGAGAGCTCCCGTGCAATTTTCATTCATATTTGACAATCCAAACAATGGCCGCCTAACATATGAGTGGTGCGAGATCGATTCAAGTGCAGTGTCTCGTTTTTAATATGATGTGATTTAATCGGAAGCAAGAAAAAATGTGGATACCGACGAAAACAAAAAAGTACGGCGTCGGTAAGTAATTATTTTTGGAGGGTCACTTTTTTTTTATGTTTCCTTCGGCGTTTGTTTTGACAGCTTCAGTCATGGATAAGTAGATTATTTTTTTTATAAGAGATTTGTAGTAACCTGTCAAATTACGAAAACAAAATAACCTTCAAGCAAAACATTCTTACGTAGACAATATTTAAGGTCGTTGCAAATAATGATAAAATGAAATTCCTTAATTCAGTTTAAAAAAATAAACGATTTATATTAATTATTACAATTTATACCAATTAATTAAGAGATTTTTGACTTTTTAAATTGAATTAATTTAAGTTGATTTTAATTTTAACGATAACGATCTGCTCAGACAGAAACTTCCTTTACCTCTTGACAAACGCACCATCTCGGCTTCTACTTCCTTTCGAAGATTGTCCTAAGAATACACAATTAGTTTTATGCCTCTCTGTCAGCGCTTCTCAAACAATTTCCGGACTTCCCCCAACATACATAGTACATTTAGAAAAATCGCCGTCAAAAAATTCCGGGAAATTACCCAAACGATTGAGTTGGGTACAAAATCCATTGTTTTTGTTCAAAGTTAAATGTCAAATCAGGATTTGTAATAGCCCTTTGTATTGTTGGCATGGTTCGCTTCAGTAACATTATACCACAGTGAAATATGAGCTTTGATTCGGTTTTAATTTTCATTTAAATCATTTCTAGAGAGTTCGAACAAATAATATTTTAGTTACATTGATTGATTGTTACTCTTTAACTGTTGAGGTGTGTTTTTTAGAACACCTCATCACTTTTATATTTAGTTGATGTTTACGTTTTAAAAATCTTATATCGTCTTCTCAAGCATTAAACACTTTGCCAACATCTAAATTTAATTCTCAATGTCATGCAGTTCAAACATTCATTTTACAATAATTACAACACCTTTATGTTTATATACATTGGTATATATTTTATTTCTTCAAACGTCATTATATGACATCTTTGTTGTGAAGATTGCCTATCACAATCAAAACTGTCTAACTTTACAATTATTATTAAGATTTGTCGTATTTTAGAAGATTAATTCTTCAACAAGCATAATGTAGTTAACGTTTGGGTTGTATATGTTGAATTTGATACATTACATTACAACCAACCTTGCACCGCGACCCTAAGGATCTATTGTACCCCGATAGATATCGTTATCAAATTTCACCGTGCAGTCCAATGCTCTTAACGAACATTAATACCCTGCTCGGCGAAAGGTCATTCAGATCTTTTGAGGAGATAAACTGCGACCCAAAAATCGAGAATCTGATACGGTTTACGGCAGGGCAGTGGCATAAAACATGCTCAACCGTCTCTGCTTCCTCCGCACATAGTCGGCATTCAACATCGTCGGCTAAACCCAACAAGTTGAGGTGTGCTTTTAATCGGCAGTGCCCAGTAACAACACCCATTAGAACTTTTATGCTACTACGGGCAAGTCCTAAAATATTCCCGGGTCTCATTCCAGGAGAACTGGTCCACAGTAGGCGAAGTCTCTCTTCAGCCCACAGTCCAATCCTATATTTGGCCATCACAAATGATACACCAACTGCTGGTTCCGGTCCCCCAAACGCTTCAGCGCTGCCATCTCGTGCTAGCTTATCTGCCGCTTCATTGCCAGCAACCCCAGAGTGACCCGGGACCCAGATCAGAGAGACTCTGTTATCACAACTCAGTGTTTTTAATGTTCTCTTACAATCATTAACCAGAGCCGACACCGTTTTCACGGCTTGCAGCGCCTGGAGAGCGGCTTGACTGTCTGAGAAAATTCGTACTGTCATGTTCTTCACCCCTCTTTCAAGAAGGATTTTAGCACCCATGTCAATAGCAAATACTTCCGCCTGGAATACAGTACAGTACGTACCCAGGCTGTAGGCTTGCTTAATTCGAGGTGTCTGGCAGTATACTCCTGCTCCTACCCCTTCAGGCGTTTTTGATCCATCTGTGTACAAGCAAATGTCTGCCCGAACCAGAGAATTTTCATTTTCGATCCAGGACTGCCGCTCAGGCAGTACAATCTGGTATCGAGCATTAATCACTGATAGTGATACCGCCAAATCTGACGACATTGATAGCACAGTATCAGTGCTTATAATGTCTTCCGCAGCCCATTGGTAGGACATGTCGGAACAGTTTTGAGCATATTGCTTAAATTTGTAAATGGTTGTTCTGGCCACTTTCTCTATATGCAAATGCAGAGGAGATAGACCAAGCAGAACCTCCATTGCTAGAGTTGGCGTTGTACCTATCGCACCAGAGATTGCCAATCCAGCTACTCGTTGAATTCGTGAAAGTTTACTGATAACTGAAGTCTGTCGTACTTTCCTATACCAGGCTGCTGCTCCGTATGTGATCATAGGTCTAACCACAGTCACATAGAGCCAGTACAGTCTTTCAGGGGTAAGACCCCAATTTTTTCCACAAAGACTGCGACAAGTCCACAAGGATAGTCTAGCTTTGTGCAAAACTCCCTGCAAATGTCCATTCCATGACAGGGTTTTGTCTAGGATTACTCCTAGATATTTGACTTCCTTTGAGAAAGGAATTTCTTCACCTTGGATAGTTGGGCGGATTAATTAGTTTACACAACAACAATTATCAATTTCCATAAAGTTGTGGTTTCATATCTTAATGCGTTTAAACAAAAATACACCATTTCTGTATTCATAAAATGTTTTGATTCTTGTCACGTTTTTGGTGTTTTAGCTGTGTCATCCAAATAAAATAAGCTAATCTTGTGGGAGAATGTTTAAGATGTGTTATCTTTGTCGAATTTTATGTTATTCCTTGTGTTTGAGAACTACTGCCCATTTAATTTTTTAACAACCGTTGTAACTATAGAGTGGCAAGACTGGCTGTCTGCCAGGATTCCATAAATTACCCCAGATTTTAAACCAGATTGAGCTTGAATATCAACCTTCTTGTTCGTGTTTCCCTGGACGCTACTCGCACGCTAATTAATACTTGTGGTTTTCACCAACGTGCGTGACGTTTCGCATTTTCATTGATTTTCTTTTTAACAATGTTTTAAATTAGAGAGAAAGTATATACAAAGACAAATTCGATAGATAAGACAATAAACATTTTTCATACTTAACTATAGTTCATTTTTTTTTCTATAATACCTGTCAAATTGTTGTAAAGTTGGCAAAATTAACAGGGAGTTTTGTTTTATCATGTTTTGAAGTAAATATGTCACATTGACGTTTGAGCTTTCGTTATTCAAAAAGAAAAGGTGCATAAAAAGTTTATTTGCCATTTACTTACCTAGAAAAGGTATTTTATTCTATTTAATTACTTTGTAGCACGTTTTTATAACAAATATGTACTTCGTCAATCGTATTTATCTAAAAATTTATTAGTATTTTAACCTCAACTAATTAGTTACTGACAATGTTACTAAAAATCATGAAAACAACATAAATTTTATAAGGATCCTAGATAATACCAACAGAAACCCTAAATAATTTACATTGACAAGTATTATAGAAAAAAAACGAACTATAAAAGAAATATTTACAGTTTTTTTGTTAACCGTTACACAACGCTTAGTTTAAAATGTACCGTAAAAGGCAAAAATATTTCCTACTCATTTCTGTAATCCCACAAACTAATAACATCCAATTATCTCAATCAATTTAAGTAACGACTCTAAGTAGATCATCAATTTCTATTAAATATAGAGAAGCATTTATTATGAGTACTTTACGAGACATGTATTATATAAGTATTATTTTATTTCCCATCTAAAGAGACGTGTCTTTAAGGTTTAAAAGGCGGGTTTCGTAGACGTCTAGGGTACAATTTTACTCTTTACAGCCTTCTGGCAAACACATCCTTCGTTAATATTAAAAGAACAGATGTTCAGTGTAGGATTTCTCTCCTCCGTATACTGACACTGACCCCAGTGTACTACTTCCTGTGAACCGGTACTATGTACTACCGACGACTTTTTCCGAAAACCAACAATAAAAAGACGAAAACTACAAAAAATAGTCACGACCCCGTCACCGTGATTTATAACCCGATGTGTGCCGTCCGTTTTCTGTATAGAGTTACAAACCGTTCGTCCTCTTTCTTCGTTAATCTTCTATACTCTTTTAGGGGCTAATTATAGCTTAGAGATAATGTAGACCCTCGCGTAAATAACGAACCACTTCTGTTCCTGCGGAGATAATGAAAGACATCAATACAAATGAATAGAGCAGTTTGTTTTACATTGATTTATCAAGTTTTTATCAAATCGGTTAATGGAATATAACGGAACGGGTTTTCTTGGAATTCGTTCATGATATGAAATAAAAATTGTTTATTTTTGAGTTCACTTTTTTTTCTGACAAACTTTAATTTCTTGGCGCAATCGATGTTTTCTGTTTACGTTCACAGACGTAAGCCGGATCAGAACTCAGTTCAACTTGGAACTTTCCCATTAAGTTTAAATCCGCAGGAAACAGCACATTTGAACAGCAGTTTACTTTTCTTTGTTAACATTGACAATCTTTCGAAATTGGAATTTAACGTACCGTGAAGTTAATTTTTCTTTATGAATGGACATTAATTTGGAATGATTGGTTGACTTTTTCATCAACTTTTTAAAGAATCATTAAATAATACATTACGTTTTTTAGGTTTTTTTACTTACTATTCGAAATATTTAGCAAATAATAGCGCACGATATAATAATTCGGCGTTATCGCAATAAATACCGATAAGATTCATGTAAGTAAAATTCACGTTAATATTATCTTATTTTCTTATCAGTACTATGCTCTAATCTTCGTAAATCACCTGTCGTTGTTGATTTTTGTTTTTGTATAATAGTGGTATTTATTTGTGTTTGCAAAATAATTTTTATAGATAACCCTTCTGTACCTTTCAAATTTTAATCTGCTTCGATGATTAATTTTCTTACATATAGACAAGTTGTTATATTTTATACGTATGTAAAATATATCATTCATTCATTATCATATATTCGA